CTCCAGGGTGGGGTGGCTGGGTGGGAGCTGGGGGCCTGGGCAGCCTGGGTGGGCCAGCTCCCTCCTTGTGAACAGGACTGTCCCAGCTCTGCCTCCCAGGTGCGGAGGGGGCTCTGTGCACAGTACACAGCAGGTACCCACCCACAAGGGCAGCCGACATTTCTGGCTCCTAAGCCCCAAACCCCACCTGCCCCGTTCAGATGCCTGCTGACTCTGGGACCCACAGATGAGGCAGAGGATGGGCCCCTCCTCTGGGAGATGGACGTCAGGTCCACGGCAGAAAAGGGCCATATTGCAGCAGAGACATAGCTGAGGGATGGGGCTCTCCTCGGGGTCAGCTGTGTTTGGAAGGGAGGTGGGCAGAGAGCAGGCTCACAGCTGACTCTGGAGCTGGGCCTTGAGGGCTGAGAGTGTATTTGCCATGATGTCAAGGGAGAAGGACACGGCAGAGGAAGGGACTAGCATAAGCAAAGGCCTAGACTGAGGAACAATGGCACCAGCAGGGAAAACAATGGCATGAAACCCAGCAAAGGGCCAAAGGACGGCAGGACCCTTTCTGGGACAAGGTGAAAGAAGAAGGAAACGGAGAAAGATACATGGAAAAGAACAGGAAGAAGCAGGGCAGGATGACATGGATGGAGAGGCCCAGTCAAGTGCTGGGGAAGTGGAGGATCCCATGGCGTGATCTAAGCAGGCTTCCCGGAGGAGGTGACACCAGAATTGGCCTTGAAGGACAGGGCAGTCTTTGCAGGTGGAGAAGGTGGCAGGGAGGGCATTCTACACACAGGTGTGGGGTGCCAGGGCTGCCCACCATCCAGCTGTGTGAGGCTCAGGGCATGAGTCTGGCTGTGGCCTGACTGGGGAGGGCTGGAATTCTGCCCTCAGAGTGTGGGCTGTGCTCCGGCCAGTGGGGCTCAGGGTTCTGGACATCAGAGCGCGTGGTTTGAGGCTAGACTGGAAGCTATGTGTGGAGGTGAGGGTAAAGCCCAGGCTGGAGGGACCAAGGTGGCCAGTGGCAGGGCTGGTCTAACAGTCTGGGCAAGAGACCGCAGGAATGGAATAAAGCCCACATCTCCCCAGCTGCCCGGATATGCCCCGGACAGTATATTTAGAGCATCTCACTTTAGCCTCCTGTCACTTTCAAACACTAAAAATCTGTGTTTCCACAAAACAGGAGTGGGAGCCGCCCAGTGCCTTCCCCCAAAACCAACACTGAGGTTTTAATTACATGTTTGCAAGTCTTTTTAAAAATTCTCTCTTTGGCTACTAGGCTCATCGACCACAAGTCACCAGGCTGGTGGTGGAGGTGGATGTAGGAGCGCTTCCTGTCCTCACAGTGAGTATCTGGTCCAGCGATGGATGGGCAAACAGCTGTGCTGGGTAAGGCCAGTGGACACACATGTTTGGGTAGGAGACGAATTTTTCTCCCCCAAACCAGGGAGGAGAGAAAATAGAACGTCCATCATCTAACAGGGTGCTGGACTCACAGCAAATGCCCACCCACGAGCCAGACTGTTTCAGAGGCAGTGTGACACAGGCGGGATGAGGGTCCTCCCACACAGGAAGGGCGTGGAGGGCAGGGGTCTGGAACTTTGCTGAGTGATGCTCACCATGAATACCACCACACAAGTCCCCACCCCGTACAGAAACACACACACAGCTTTGGGGACAATCTCTGTTCATTCGTGGCCTACAGAGACCACCTCTGTTGCATGGCTGTGTAAGCATCCCTACAGGTTGAAATACATCCAGGCTGGTGGTTGTCACAAGATGTGGCACAGATAGTCAGGAGGGGTTGCTCAGTTACGCCCTGTACTGACCCCTCTTGAAGCATTTTAAGTGTATCTGCCCACAAGGCACAGCGGAGTCACTGGGAACCTCTGTCTACACGCCTAACACTGACTCATGTTGGATCCAGGACTGAGGGAACAACCACGAACCTGCCAGCTCCTGGGGGCACCAAGCTCTGTGGTCTCCCTCCTTGCTGACCTGAAGGCGCTTGTGTGCTGGGTCAAGACAGTCCTGTTCACCTGGACTGACTAGAGATCCAGCCCTCCCTCCTGTGGGTTTGTGAAATCGGTACCCATCGCCCAGTAGTTCCAGTAGCAGAAACTGCCCACCCTAGCTGTTCCAGGCAAGCACTGGAGATGGGCAACTTTAGGAAAATGATTTTCACCAAAACTTGGTGAAGTGTCCTAAAGTATGGAACTGGGTAAAGAAAGTAACTCTGTAACAGAGCAGGGCCCTATGGAGCCTTCCTGGGCAAACTCCACCATGTCCTCTGTCTGCTTCTTGTCTGTAGAACAACTTTAGCCAAAGAATAAATTTAATTAGAGAAATGACAAAAAGCAAAAACAAAGGAAAACAGTCAAACAAGACAAAATATGGATAGTTTATCCATTAAACAATGTCAAGGACCTTTAGTTTCTCCTCAGCAGCTATAGATAACATTCTGAGCCATACCCTTTGAGCTGTTTTACAAACACTAAAACCTCTACCAGGGAGAAGTTAACTACATGATGACCAGACTGTAGCCATGACATAAGCTGCCACAATTCCAAGAACTGGCCTCAAGAAAATGGGAACAAACCAAACCTGGGACTGAAGATTAATGCACTTAAAACAATCAAGATGATGCTGATCAGACCACTGTCTGACTAATTTCAAGATGACTGTCAGAGCTAACTATGCTGTTCTGCACATAGCCCTGTCCCTCCTCCTATACACCCCTGAAACTTTCCTTTAAAAGCTCTTGCCCACTGATTGGCAGTGTGGAGTTGCTTTTGGACATGAGTCCATCTTCTCCCCTGGTTGCCAGCCTCCGAAATAAAGCAAAATTTCTTTCCTACCAGTACTTCTCTCTCTCAAGTATTGGCTTTCAAATGGCAAGCAGCTGAACCTGAATTCAGTAACAGCTGCTTCATCTGACAGTCAGTGAGAAGGGTAGGGAGAAGCCACCTGTGGATTTGCAGCTTTTTCAGTGGCTGTAGTTTTGAGTTAGAAGAATGATTTTCCAAAAGCTGGTGTCCAGGAAAAGTGTTTTCTGGCAGCTCTATTTCCCTCTTGTTAACTGCATAGACTGAGCCTGCTTTAGCCAGAGAGGCAATTTAGGGCAGCCCAGGGGGCTCTGGTCATTGGTTAAGGCCCTCATTTCAGGCCTTCCCCTGCACCAACCAAATATGGACGACCCACCTGGGCCTGGTCTCTGCCTGTGCAAACTGGGAATAAGGAACCAGCCCAACTTTCCTCACAGGGCCATGAAAGGACTTTGTAAACAGGCAATGGGCTGAGAGTGGTGGCCATTCAACAGGAATTTGGGATGAGTCTGATTTGCAGTCTCCCTCCTTTGGCCAAAACATGATACTCTCAGGGGGCCTGGTCAGAAATTCCAAGGCCATGGGGTGGAGGGGAAGGGGAGATACTGAGTGATCTAAATAAATGTATTCATTTGCTCATTTATTCATTCATTCACTTATCAAGTTCAAGTTACAAACAAATTTATCGAGTATGTAAGTATGTAAGACTCTGTTCCGAGCTTTGGGGACACAGCCATGAACAAGACAGATAAGCCAGGTCTCTGCATTCTCGGCATTTACAGTCTAATGGGGGAGACAGAATGTAGGCAAACAACCAAGTAAAAAGGGATGTCATCTCTATCGGAAGTGAAATACAGAGCGTTCCAGGCCCAAGAGGGTTGGGGGGCGGCGGAGGCGTTTCCCTGCGAGAGGAAGCAGGTAAGAGCAGACGTGCGCGTTCTCACGCAGCGCTGATGGGGACGCGGTGGAGAGGAGCTCGGCAGCTTCCTTTTGCGATACCCCTGCAAAATTACATATGAACCTACCCTTTGGCACAAGGATCT